TCTCCTTACTTGACCTTTTCAACCCTCAGACTCATCCTGTTCACCTTTACTTTGTCTGTGTAACTCTACACCCTCTTCTGGTAAACTAGACACAGGAATGACCCCGCTCCAGCTGACCACCACGCTTCACTGACTGGGCACTCATAAAACACCATGTTCACATCATTTGAAATACATTGTAGGTAAAACACAGTAGAAAACGTGGAAAAGATCAGTTAACTCGTATAGGACTGTAGTGTAAATGTTGCCATAAAGGTAGTTAAATGTGTTGAATAAACCAGTATGATGATGGAAATAGTCAAAATGCAAACTGTGGTTGATTTAGACTTCTATCAACATTTTATTTTACAAAAATATCGTTATTTTATTAACATACTGACACTATAGAATAGGATATACATTAAGGGGAAAAACGATGTAATGCCATTAGTACCTTTAGTTAACCTTCTCTGAAATAGAAGCATCCATCATGTACACAACGATAAAAAATCAGTAGGTATTTTCTACTTTGCAATGAATTTCTTTAGACTGCCTTTTTTGCTGCAGGATTTAAAGCAATACACTTTGCAGGGAAGAGTATACACATACAATACTTTTTCACCACAAGTAGCAATCTATGCATGAAACATAGGGAGGAATAGGTGAGAAGCCATTTTTCATCTTTCTTAATTCAAATAGTTGGGAGGGTGAGAAATCATTCTGCATAGCAGTCTAAGCAGAGGCCAGTGGCTTGAGGGTAAAACAGCGAGCGCAGAGAATAGACTAAGAATATTAGGTACAGCTCGGAGATGGGTAAAGTGGAGAAGGAGAAAGGCTGAAATGGAGGGATGGGAAGATGAAAGGATGAGGAGAAAGACGGAGGACACAGGAGAGGAGCAGAAGCTATACTCGTGAAGGGAGGGTAAAGACCACCAATGCCTTGACGACGGCAGCAATGAACAATTACTGGCGTGAGTATGTGTGTGTGTGTCACTCACAGGTGTAGATACTAGTCCAGAATCGGGACTGTGGTCCACAGAGAGGGGTGTGCGTGTAACCCCGAGATCAGAGTACTGGGACGAGTGGGATTTGGGGAAACTGCCACTGAGAGTGTTCACACCTGAAGAACTGAAAGCAAAAAAACAGATGGGGTCATCAGGTACATTTTCACATCTTTGGTCTCTGTTTGAAGGGGAGCTGTGTTTTGGTAATGTAAGCCCTGGTGTGTGCTGAAACCCTGACCACCGGCCGAGTGGTTAGAGTTACAGTGAACTGGGCCTGACAATGCAGATTAGGGCCCGTTGCCATGGCACCGGTGGACACCTGAGCAGGTGCTATTAGCTTATAATAGTCGCTGTATGCAGGGGTTAGCTGGACCCTGTGGCCTCTATAATTGATTGTGAGTGCTCTGTAGTGGTTCGTTTTGTAGTTAGCATACAAAAGAAGTCAACAGATAATAAAACATGTTTGCTTTTTAAATTTTTTTTAAAAAGTGAAATTATAAAGGTAAACGGTTAGGACGTTTAAGGCTAGGTTAGCTTGACCTAGCCAGTTTGGCTTAAATTAGCCAAGTTTCCATATAACTGTAGCGAGCTTTTGAAATCGTATTTACATTTTTGAGGTGCAAAAGCATCAGAGAGCAAACTTTCAGAGATAAAACTGGCCTCAGTTGTCACTTGAGACTAATTAAATTGGCAAACATGACGGAATAAATCTCCCATGCAGACACAGTTGGTTTAGCTTACCTTTCTGACATGTCCCAATCGCCTTGTGATAAGTTCCCCTGGCCTTCTTTAACACATCGGCTCGGTTTAGCCCTGTAGCCCCGTAGCTGTTACCCATGGAGCCCGGTGAGTTTGTTAATATTCACGGGGAGAAAGTTAACCGTCCCGTTGGCTGGTTCTGGCTCTGGAGACTGACACCGGTACGTGGCCCGCCGCTGCTGCTGCCGCTGCTGTGGGTGAGACGCTGCAGGAGCCGCGGGACTGGTCTCCAAGCTGCTGGTTGCCTGGCAACATTGTGAGGCAGAACGTAAACTGCGGGTCACTGCTGCTCTCAGTCTCCGCAGACTAAAATTAATATTCAACTTTTTAATGAACTGTGACAGCTTAATTACCTCAAGCACAATGAGACTTCAAAAGAGAGAAAAAAAAAAAAAGAAAAACCGACTTGCTTTGTGTGTTAGCACAAAGACAGTGTGTGAAATGCTGTGATGAAGTTTTTGTCTTTAATTATATAGGCCTGTTTTTACGGTAAATCTGACCTACAGTGAAGTACAATATGCTATTTTTCTTTAACTCTTGTCAAAAACTTTCATCCACCCTCTCATGTTTTTGGTGCCTCTTTTCTCTGGTTTTCTTTCCTTTATCCTGCTGGAATATATTGTTTCAGTTGGGTCTGAAAATGAAAGTCAATCAATTTTTAGAGAGTCAATTTTTATTTAATGCAGTGGCACAGACATTTTTTATTGGGGCGTCCCAGCTGAAACCATCACTCGCATCTGTGTGGCACAGAGTCTAATTAATTAATTTTTCCCTGCAAATTGTTGTAAGTCAAATACCTTTTTTATGGTCACTCACTCTTATCGTTTGCTTATTGAGGCAACATCATGAGAACCCATACAGCATATTAAGCTTTTTAAAGCAGCCTTCAGCTGATTAAAAACCTAGAATGGTTGCTAAAGTTATGCTTACTTGTTGATCATTCTAATTTAAATTAGATAGGATAAGCAGGCTACACATAAGAAACCTATGGCAAAAGTGTCCTTGGTTTCAGGACATCCACTTAGTTGAGAAATCAAAAGTCCGCCCAGCCGTTTCTTTCTTTCTTTCTTTCTTTCTTTCTTTCTTTCTTTCTTTCTTTCTTTCTTTCTTTCTTTCTTTCTGCTTGGGGTTCTGCGTCAGTCTTGCATTGTTCAGTAGTGTGTATCACTTGTTTCCAGAGCTCTTTAAAGTAGGTTTCATCCCTACTGTTTGAAGAAGTCTGTACAAGAGCTTCAGCTAAATCCAAACCTAAATCATGCTCCCTTACTAATAAAACTGATTCTTTATTGAGGTGAAAAAACATGCCTTTTTGTACTATCTATTCACATTTCAATGACAATAACATGTAATCTTTGAACTGCTGCAAAATCATTTTAAACATTTTCTGATTTGATCAGAACTACTTGGCTGAATGTAGTCTATGCTGAAATTACCAAAATTACCAATCATTGATATGACAATCTTCAAACGCTTGCTTAAGTGATATCTCAATATAAAACAATTTCATAACTCCTGAACTTAAATTTTGCTTTGGTAAAAGTGTGGACAGAGCTGCAAAATGTATCTATGTTACTGTAAGTTATTGTTAATGTATGATAAATAATGTACAGCTATTCAAGGAAGAGCTAACAGCTATTTATGACACTATTTGGGGTTGATTATACATGATGTTTTTTTAGTTTTAATATTTTGCATGTCAATCTTCAGTAGCCATGTAACTAATAACCACAGCTGTAGGATGCACGAGGGGAGTAAAACTAGAAAATCACACAAAATGAAAAAACTTAGTTCAGTTATCTCAAAAAAAGGGTTTGAGTAAATGTAATTACTTTCCATTTCAACCAGTAACTAGAAGTAGTTGTAGCTTCAGGACAGCTTTCATGTCTTTTCTTGTAGTTTCTGTCGTTAGGCACAGTATGTTGTCACGGGGAGGAGGAGGAGGAGAGATAAGGATGGTGCGCACAATGAAGACATACGGCACAGATATCATGCCAGCTGGTGAAAGTAATTTAGATTATAAATAACTTCCTACACCCATGGGCTTTCATTCCTCAACAATGCAGCTCATTGTGTTTAAGACACCACCGCACTGAAACACACTGTGCACGCTGAAGAGATGAAAAAGCTATTAGATATTTCTTAGAGGTAAATGAAAACCTTTGGAACTGCATGAGACAGTACAAACAATTCTGTCTGACTTTGTATGGAGGACTAACTTGTTTTTAGGAAATCTATTGCCTCAGCTGGTTATTACAAGAGTCACCATCTGCAGTTGTAAACTGCAGTGTATGTCAGCTTTTGCTATTTATTATTTAAATCATTTCACTTGTTTTGTTTTTGTTTTTTACAGCATGTTTCTTTCTGTGTAGCAATCTTGTCACAGAAAATTGGTGTCTTGGCTGAAGATGGGAATAACAGTTTTCACATCAAAGCGTCTTTTTGTGTTGTTTGTCACAGAAGCATCTGTTGAGGATGTAATTATTAGGGTTTATTTTGTGTGTGCAGAAATAGGTGTGTTGGTGTGAGTGTTAGTTTTGGTGTGACAGTTGTTTCACACCACACTATAGATACATACATATGTGTATTGTGAGAGTCAAGTTGAAATTTAGCAAGTGGAAAATGTATATTGAAAACAATTTATAACTTCCTATCATATTTGGACCCTGCTGTTTATAAAGTAATTTTATAGTGTACTTTATAGTTTACAACTAATCAGTTAAAGCAACTGCAAATTGCTTATTTTCACAATCTCTTGTTGTTTCACACATCATGAACATACACTGACTTGTATTTTCTTACATACAGTTTCATTAATAAGTGGCATTCATCCGTATCAGTGCAGGTCTCGTTTGTCCTTGGTCACCGTATATCTCTGCCGTGACGATATGATCTGTTTCCACGTGTGTGCATGTTGTGTATCTGTGTGTTGTGTGTGTAGGAGCTAGGTGATGCAGGCCTGAAACTACTCCAAGATCCCTTGGCAGGACATTGTCTGGCCTGGGACACTGAGTTGAGCTTCTGCCATGTCCCACTCTTTTATTATTCAGGCACAGAAGGCTTCATAACTAAAGCATTGCATGTTTATCATTCACGTTAAATCCTTTATTTAAAGAACCCAGAGTAAACCTAGCAGTAGCTGGAAAGCTGCGTTAGTGGTTACATAGCTTTTGAGTTACTGATAGTCACGTTGTTTTATAGTTGGAGTGTCCTTGAACCGTATAAAAACAACCTCTACACACAGAGAAGGATATATATATATTTAATGGGAACACATTCATGTTTTTATTGAATAAAAGACTCAATACAGCTGGTGTTTTTGTTTCTCCCTGTATGTACATCCAAAACAGTGCAGCAGATCTTCTTCAGTGCGCCTGCATGCTCCAGTCCATCTCTATAGCAACCCATCTTAGTTACACAGTCCCCTTTGCTCACCTGTAAGATGCCCAGCTCAGGCTTAATCAACCACTCAGATGTGATAAGGCATATTAGTTCATCAGCAGTTTAGCCATGTGCCTACAGTGTAAAAATGTCTCAATACTGTCTGGAACAGATATATTACTAAGATTAAGTGTATAAGGACAAAATGTTTGCACATGTTTATTCTGCAATAAATACTGAGCATATACTGTATATGTATATATAGAACACAATGTCAAATGTACAGGGATGTAATTAATGTGTGGAACTTACAGTGTGCACATACTGTATCTGGAGAAAGAGTAACTACATCCAAAGAGGTTTTTGTGCATCGTGTGTGTGGGTGCAAGTGAGTACGAAGCTGCTGAACTTAAAGGGGTTGTGCATGGATCACATACCATGTATTCTTCTTATTCATATACAAACCATACTTTTACTAGAGAATATTTACAACTTTCACTTTCTGCACATCTGTATCCAAGAATTTAAAGCTTCCAGTATCAAAACACAGTCACATTTTATGTCGTATGTCATGTTTCAATATATAATATTTCATATAATATTCAGTTTGTATATAGAGTATAAAACACAGCTGAAGATGGTGAAAGAGGATAGGTAGCATTTATGACGTCAGGATCTGATTGGCTGAGAGTGAGTGACCTCACACCCTGGTTACATGGAGTCAAAGTCGTGGTCGTTGGGTTCGATGACTTCCGGGGTCATGACCCTGCCCATGAAGAGAATGGACCCTGGATGAAGAAGAATAGAAAGTCAAGTTGAAATCATAGACTGTCTATAAAAGATGCATGTATTTATTGTGACATCACCTATTGGTTTATGGACTACTGTTCTGAAACCTTGAGTTAAAAATGTAGCAAGGCGGATCTGGAAGAGAACTCAAAAACACTACACAGCAATGCAGTTGAGACCTGTCAATCACAAGGTTGACCCACCCTAAAGCACACCCTGCTTTGTTCCCTATTTTACTCTGAATGGGTGCATAGTTTACAAAATGATCATGCTGCTGTGTTGAAGAAGACTTGAAACTGGTGATTAAGACCATGAAGTGATTAGGAAAATGTTGACTGAATTAACAAATCAAGTGACAGGAAGGGTTATTTTCTCATAGACTTCTATGCAATCGTACTATATTTACAATGAGCGTTTCGCCCCGCGCTGGTTTAATGCAAGGAGCTGGAGGCTATGTCAATCTTTTATATGCAGTTGAAACACGCATACACAAACGTATAATTAACTAAGTGTATATCATAGGTATCATTAATACAAAGCTGACAAACACAAATAATCAAACACACCATTATTCTC